GCTGCATCAAAAAGCACTTTGGTGGCAAAATGTTTTGTATTTCACAGAGTCAAGGGATGAATAAACTACTAGAATATAAAAATCCAGAATCCTCCTATGCTGGTTTTTCGAGATATATTACCGTAAACGTACCAAATATGTTGGGGAATTCAATCGGATTAGGGTTGGCTCTTCTGCCTTCTAGCACGCTTCTCTAATGCCTCAGTGTCTCCATAGTTTTCATCCACTGTTCATCAATGAAGTTTTCACTTACCATTTTCCTTTCACCTCGTTAATCTTCCAAGATATCAAATTCGACTGAGGTCATTTTCACACCATGAAAACTTTCGAAGCGCTTTCTAACCTCTGTATCGTCATAATTTAATAGATATCAAACAATTGAGAATATTCAGTGTTAAATAGTTTAACATTCTCTTAATATACTGAGCGCCATGGAAAACGCATCACTTAGTTTTTCGTATAACAAAATGATCCTGTAAACATATCTTATTTATTTTGCTTCTTATTGTGAACAATATTCAAATGGGAACACATCAATAACAACACATTTGTACACTTATGGATCTTTAATCTGTAATCAACGGTACAAAGTCAGAGGGGTCAAAACCAAAAGTACGACACAGATGTCAGTAGCGCGTGTGTCCTCCACGGGCTCTTACGCACGCCGTGCAGCGACGTCGCATGGAATTTACCAATGTTTGAAAGAAGGCCTGGGGCAAATTGTTCCATTCTTGGACAAGAGCAGCTTCTAAAGCAGCAATGGTGTGCATCTGTGGTCTCCGATACAGACGGCGTCCAATCTCATCCCAGACATGTTCTATCGGTGCCATGTCCGGAGACATGGCTGGCCAGTCCATACATTGATGTTGTTAGCAGCCAGGTAGTCCATACTAAAACGGGCGGTATGCGGACGTGCATTATCCTGTTGGAAGTGCTGAAGTTGTGGGTGCGCTCGAAACATCGGAACAACAATTGGTTGCAAGACATCATAGCGGTAGGCTACAGCATTAACGCGACCCCTGCAAATGTGTAGGGCGGTCCGGTGATGAAATGTGAAGCCTCCCCACACCATTACACTTCCCCCACCCCATCGATTCGTTTCGAAGACGCATCAGTCTGCAAGACGTTCCCCAAGACGTCTCCACACACGTTGACGGCCACCAGCGTGATAAAGATGAAAGCGACTCTCATCACTGAAGAGAACACTTTGCCAGTCTACTCTTCTCTATGTCTGGTGTCCTTGAGCCCATATCAAACGCCGCTGATGATCCCTGAGGATAGCTCCAACATAAGGTCGTCGTGCACGGAGTCCTACTTCTCTTAGACGACGTCTTACGGTGTTGGCACTTACTGGTCCTTGTCTTCCGAAGACTGCTGCACCTGTTCGAGTCGCTGGGTGGAATCTGTCACGCAGATGAGTGACCCGGATGTAGCGGTCTTGAGCCTGGGTTGTAACGCGTTGAGGACCAGGACGTTGACGGTCACGTGTTGATCTAGTAACTCGAACACGTTCCACCAACCTTACAATAGTGGACTGATGACAATTGAAGTGTCTGGCAATAGCACGTGTAGACATGCCAGCCCTGGACATTCCCATGGCTTCATTCCGTTGATTTTCAGTAAGTCTCGGCATCTCTAGCTCGATTCCGTCACACGTCCAAAAACAAATTACGACAGATTGACGTTTCACAGTTCATGTACTGCACATGAAGTTGAAAACATGCTTTTAAAGGGCTCACACACAATGCTGCACTGCACGTGAATATTGGGTTTTCATGTGTATCTCGTGCACACGGGCCGATATTTTTTGCGTTTGGGAGCATTGTGTGAAACAATAGTTCATAGTATTGCATAATATTATACATACAAAACCACCTTGTAATAAAATATTTGGGAAAAAAAGTGATGCGTTTTCCATGGCGCTCAGTATATTTTTCATTTTTCCTTGTCTGGCGCGTATGGATGATGAGATTTTGGAATTTTGTGTAGAGAGTTAGTATATTATTCCTTTTGATACATTTAAATTATCACCCTCAGTTAACCCCCACTATCTTCAGGGGTGTGTACAGGGAGTTTGGGGGGGGGGGGGGGTCAGAAAAAGAAACAAATGTTCATACCTGGGTAGGGTAACTACAATTAACTTTTGGAGGGGGCCCCGAAATTTATACACTGCACGGCGCATCTCATTATCGAAGCGTAAATACACTTCCATTATAAGAAGATTATAGGTATTCACCAGTTTTCGTCAAAAAATTGTTTGTATGATGACAAAAATGGCTTAAACAAAAATAATGAAGTTAACGCCCATTTTGGCCTTGATCCTCCCCCCTCCCCACCCACACACACATACCCACCCAATGCCATGTTTTATGGAAGGGTATCTCTGCCAATATTAAATGCTCTGCTACAATGTCTTCTCCGTTAATTATATGTAAAAATTACAATGTACGAAGTCCTAATACCGGTAATGATAAAATCAAAATACCTCTAATAAGGCAAGAGTTAAATGTATAGGTGTATAGGATAAATATAGTTAAATAGTTAAATGTATAGGATAGGTGTTCCACAAGGATCTGTATTGGGACCTCTACTTTTTCTTCTATACATTCTTCCGATTGGTCAAATCATAAGAAGACATGGGGTACAAAACCACGGCTTTGCTGATGACACCCAAATATATGACTATTTTCAACACAACAACTATCTTGCTTCCAAGGATTCTATCAGTAGACTTGAGTCTTGTCTTAATGACATTCGAGGATGGATGACCAGAAATAAGCTAAAACTTAACGATGACAAATCTGAATTTCTTATCATATCATCAAAATCACAATCCAGTAAATTGTTTAAAGCGGATTCCATTCAGATCGGTGATTGCTCTATATCTCCCAAGAAGCAGGCTAAAAATCTCGGCTATGTTACTGATGAATTTATGTCCCCAGTTCCCCAAATCAATAGTATCATACGAAAAATGCATCATCAAATGAGAGCTATTTCGAGAATACGCTCTAATCTTAATACTGATGCTTGCCAGAGTGTTGTTAGAGCATTAGTAACATCGCACATGGATTATGCAAATTCTCTTCTATTAGGAGCACCAGAAACAGCTTTAAACAGACTACAAATAGCGCAAAACAATGCTGCACGTCTTATAACTAAAACACGAAAATTTGATCATATATCAGCTAAGTTACAGAAACTCCATTGGCTTCCAGTTCGAGCGAGGGTTCAATTTAAAGCTCTTGTGAATGTGTTTAAATCAATTTATTCTGACACCGCACCCAGTTATTTAAAAGAACTCTTTGATTTCTATACTCCCCAGCGATCCAACCTTCGTTCTTCAAGTGATCGTAGCATATTGAGGATCCCCAAATATAATAAGCGTTCTGGTGAATATGCTTTCTTCGTCAAAGCAGCAAAAATGTGGAATGATCTTCCAAAAACTCTTAGAGAGTCCTCTTCCATCCAGAGCTTTAAGACTAACTTAAAAACCTACTTATTTCAAAAATGTTTTTGAACTGTTTTGTTGTGAATGCGCTTAGAAACACTCAAGTGTAATGAAGCGCTATATAAATCGAACAATAATAATAATAATAATAAAACGTCAAATGTTAAGTGTCAAATGACAAAGGTTTTGTTAGAAAATGCTTTTATTGACGTGTCTACATTTTGCATCTCTCACATTACATTTTACATTTGCGCTCTGCAACATCATTTAATTGTCCTTCACGATTTCTACATAGCATTATATCAAATTTGGTGTGAAAGGATGGACCCTGTTGATTTTCAGTTCTGGAGTTGCCTCGAGTAAGTTTCCGAAAACATTTTGAGGTCTTATCGATAGGGCGAACCCTAAATTGACTTTCGGGTAGGGTGTGAAGGATTTGGGTCGGACAGGGTGAACCCTGTTGATTTTCAGCATTCTATGATTTTCTGTTTGAGAGTCTTTACGTGTCCGGAGAAGTTTGTGAACACGGCAGACATATTTTGCTGTCTTGGCTATATTTTTTGGGTGGAACGATTTACCCAATATTACCCAATACCACCCCAATACCACCTCAATATCACCACATACTACCCAATACTACAAGATAATGATGCAAAATAGACATATCATTTGAATTTTTTCAAAAAAAGAGAGTTATATCGCGAGAAATGTACTTCAAATGCGATACCGATGTCATCAGGCTCTTCCATTTGCCTCCCTACCACCCAAAACAAGCCAATAATAACCCAATAGTACCAAATACTCATCAAATACTACTACCCAATTTTATTAAATAACAACCTAATTTTGTCAAATAACAGCACATTAGTATAATTACTGCAACAAATATTCCTGGCATATTATACCCAAATGATTTTTTACAGGAACGTGATATACTTTCTAGACAGCATGTTATCATAAAAAAATTACCAGGATGAAGAAATATAAGAAGACTTTTGAGTAGTCCACTAGACCGTTAAATGAACATTTTTAAATCAACCTCTACAATACTTGGATGTTTGGCTGTTTATTTTATACACTGTTTTTTTGTTATGCATTTTTTAAATCTTTGTTAACTTCTTTTAAAACTCTTTTTATTTTATGTTATGTTATATATTTATATGCTTTTAACGTGTAATATTGTTTGAATACACTATAGAGGGAGCATCTATATAACCAGTTTTCCTGGTCTTAACTTCGTCGTCTTTGAAACAAACTGCAAAGCCCAACAAGATGATTAGTCAGAGTAACAATCTAAAGTCTATTTATCGGTTGTAAAGGTAAATATTTCAATTTTCTACAGATTATCGAACATTCGTTGCAATAATTATACTGATATGATTCTAATTGACGATATTAGGTTTGTATTTTATAATATTGGGTAGCCTATGTAACACGTCTTGCTCAAGTTAATTGAGGTGGTTGCAAGATATGTCACGAACGGACATAATGCTCTTGACTGGGCTGACTCGATCGATGGCTTGGTCAGTGGAACTCACGACCCTGGCCCCACATCACAATTGGTCTAGCTGGTCATAGGCCTGAAAATATTAGAGACAGAGAGTGAGCGGTTATCGAATTTTATTGTCAAAATGGAAGAGAACCATGCGGTTTCAACTTCCGGTGATATTTCGTAACCACTGACATATATTCCGAAACGAAACAAAAAGTGATATAATATTTGCAGTATCATTATACTTTTTGTATACATAAGTTAGTTTCCACATGGTTACAGGTAGTATTTGTTAAGTATTTGGTAGTATTGGGTTATTATTTGCTTGATTTGGGTGATATAGGTAGGCAAATGGAACAGCCAGACAACGGTAATCACATTTTAAGTACATTTCCCACGATATATCTCACTATTTTTGAAAAAAAATCAAGTAATATATATGCTCATTTGGAACCATTATGTTGTAGTATTGGGTAGTATGTGGTGATATTCGGGTGGTATTGGGTAGTATTGTGTAAATTGTCCCGCCGATATTTTTTCTTTCGGGACATAATGTAATATAGCGACGTACGTACGTAGATGCTGTGTTCATTACACGGACTTTTAATATGGCTTTTATTTCTGATCTGTCCCCAGTCTTGTATCTAGAGAATAGATTATTCGTGGAAATGAAATGAATGCATTGATCGGTTATGTTCCTTGACTCGCGTCATTGTATTGCAAAGTAACTGAAAAGTAGTATTGGCAGTTGGCACTAACCACCTCCCATAGCCTACTATTCAACATAAATTCCTTCTCGTCTTCAGTTAGTTCAACGCTGCTGAAGATGGCTGAGTTAATCAACATAAAAATGTCAGTGTATTCGCTCGCGGTTGGTAAGGATGTATTATCTTTTTACACCCCGTGTTAAGTAAAGGACACAACAATAAAAATGGACAGCACCACATGATCGTTGACCTGCACGGCTCTCTCGTCTCTGTAAATCAGAGTTTGAACAGGGTTATTGTAACCTAAAAGACGGTCAATTTGATCTATTTGATAAGGCCAACTTCAAGTTTGGTCAAAGGTCACGAGATATAAACAGGGCTCCTAACCCTGGATCTAGCTCACTAACCCTAACCATAGATAATACCGGTATTATCTATGCCCTAACCTACAATCTCGCCAATTCACGTGCCCTAACCTATTTATTTACACCTCGAAAATTGAGCTGGACTTAACAAATAGATTTAGCCGTGTATTTACACAACTTGGTCGACGAGTGATAACAAAAAACATGGCGAAGCCCGTGATAGAAGTTGCTACTGCACATATCTAAATGTCACTTACGACCTTGTTACACTGCCATCAGTGTACTTACTACCTTTTGCCGGTGACATCTTGGTAAAATTTTCCACTTACTACCTTATATTAATGACCCATGTAGTTTGTATCATTGCAATTGCCACCATTGTTTGCTATAACCTGGAGGGGTCAATTTATAAACTATTGGTGCAAAAATATCAATTTGCCTGTTTTGTCACTAGCAACCTTTTACCTCTCAGGGGACGAATTGTCTTCACTACAATAGAAAATTCTCATTGTCTTCACTACAATAGAAAATTCTCTCGGATTAACATCCGAAATGATCATTATTTGTCAATTTTATATAAACTTGCAATATTTCTATTTAAAGGGAACATCCCGGATTTTAACAGAGACTCAGAAACAAAAGTGTACGTATTGAATCGTTTTGACGTTGGCGTCAAAACTGCTTATCCGGATACGTAACCCTTTTAAGGGTTCGATTCAATTTTTTTTGTTGGGTGACCTGATAAATATTGCTTTTCGTTTAAAGATCTATACAGTGCATGACCCACGTGCTTTTCTTGATGACGAAAGGTACATTTCACTTACACGTTATTTTTAAAAAATAAAAGTCTGGTTTTATCCAGACACCGTATAATACTGCTTGGGACACCGGTCTCCGTTTCTAGATGAAGACTGACAGGTTTAAGATGTCTGAAAACATATCAGGTATATTGAGTTAGTTGCTTGGCCCAAATTGAAATATAGAGGATTTTAAGGGTTTTTAACACAAAATCAAGCAGTTTTATTCTCCAAAATATTGAAATGTGGTCGTATATATTGTCGTCTGTCCGTCTGGCGTCCATAATTGCTTGTGGACGCTCTAGAGGCTAAATTTAATATCTAATTGACTTGAAATTTATACACAGTGTTTAAGGTCATGAGACAAAGAAGTCTATTAATATCCAACAATTTCTGCGAGAGTTATGGCCCCTGATGACTTTGAAAAATCTTTTCGACGGTGTAGAGGCTAAAGTTAATATCCGATTGACTTTAAATTTATACACATAAGATAATTACTGCCAGAATTATGGCCCTTGATCACTTTGAAAAATCTTGTGGACGCTCTAGAGGCTAAATTAAATATCTAATTGACTTGAAATTTATACACAGTATTTAAGGTCATGAGATGAAGAAGCCTATTGATTTTCAGCAATTTCCGATAATCACTGCCAGAGTTATGGCCCTTGATCACTTCAAAATATCTTGTAGACGCTCTAGAGGCCAAAGTTAATATCCGATTCACGTTAAATTTATATACAGTGTTTAAGATCATTAGGCGAAGAAGCATATTGATTTTCAGCAATTTCCGATAATTATTGCCAAAGTTCTGGCCCTTGATCACTTTGAAAAATCTTGTGACGCTCTAGAGGTTAAAGTTATCATCCGATAGACTTCAAATTGATACACAGAGTCTAAGGTCTTGAGACGAACAAGTATATTGATTTTCAATGAATTTTGATAGCTTGAATAGCTAAATCCATGATATTAAATGTATCGTATACTAAACGTTAGCATGGGGCAGAACTTTACTGGGAAAGTGGGTTTGACTTAAATTTTAAAGCTATTTCTAACGTTCTGTGACGAATTGAAATGTCCGAAATCACCGAAGTTGTCGTTTTTCGAAATTTTGCCGTAATGTTATCAATAATTATTGGAATGTAATATTTGATACATTTTGACATAGCCGGAGACAAGGCACATAGCTACAGTTCTTTGGATTTTTTATTTTCGACAAATCTTTGGAGATATTAGGCACTAAATTTTGAAAATTTAAATTTTTACAAAAAACTTTTTTTTATTAATGAATATTTTTATGTGTTATTTTACTTAGGGTTAAAGAGTCATCTGATTTGACCAAAAATGGCAACATTTTTTGTCACCGTATTTTTCCTTGGCCCCCATTGGCTAATTCAGTTTTTCAGTCCTGGCTTAATTATTTATTGTTCGATTTGTATAAAACAAAGTTCATATGCTCCGTGGTCCAAAATGTCGTTTATTTTGCTACCAGTACATTTTCCTTTTGGCAACGGAAGTGACATAAATTTAGCAAAAACTGCAAATGTTATTTTTTTCAAATCTGGTATGACTGAAAGGGTGTGCCCTGTGAAGGCGCAGAAATCATCGCGCTCAGTTTTTTTAATTTTTATTTCGTTTTCGGATCATTTCGATTTAAGGGTGAAAAAAGGTAAAAAAATGAGCTATTCACAACCCATTCAGGCTTTTCATATTTTAATATATTTTTTCGCAACTTTTATAAACTAATAGCAATAATCCATACGAAGAGAATGTATGTGAAAATTAGTTTGTAATTTGAGCAGTTGCCGAGAAATGGGCAATTTTGCATTAGTCACTTTTTACGCTAGTTTGCCTGTAAAGAGTCAATTATTATTCGATTTTCATAAAAGTGACAACATTTGATGCGTAATGTCAATTTTAACTAGGTCAAACCAATTTAAAATTTTCAATGTCCCTGGAAATGACATAATTTGGGCAAAAATTGTATTTATAGCCTACAAAACCAGTAATTTATTGAAATGAGTCGTATTTGTTATTTTTTTAAAATTTTGATATTTGATTCCAATCAACTAATAGCATGAACCCAAACGATCATATAGATATCACAAAATGGTTTCTAACTTGTTCAGTTGCAGAGAAATAGACGATTTTCAACAGGTAACTTTTCAAGGTTTTTGGTCCATAAAAGTGTCTATTATTATTATTCGATTTTCATAAAATTTCCAGTGTGTGATACCTAATGCCATTTATGATTTCATACAAGTAATTTAACACTTTTACTGTCACCGGAAGTAACGTCATTTTGGCAAAAACTGTATTTTTAGCCTTCAAAACAGATATTTTATTCAAATGAGTCTGATTTGTATTGTTTTTAAAATTATGATATTTGATTCCAATCAACAAATAGATTGAACCCACACAAAATACAGATACCAAAAAATGGTTTCTAACTTGTACGGTTGCAGAGAAATAGACGATTTTCTACAAGTCACTTTTCAAGGTTTTTGGTCTATAAAAGTGGCAATTATTATTCGATTTACATAAAATTTTCACCATGTGATGCCTTTTGCCATTTCTGATTTCATAAAACTAACTGAACATTTTCATTATCAACGGAAGTACTGTACACTTACATGTAACAAATGTATAAAATGAATTGATATTGCTGGATTTGGTTGATTCTGCGTCCATTTTATTTGATGTTTGCAATGCTTATGTGGAAACCTGTTTAATGGTTTCATTGATACCGAAAGTGACACATGTTTAAGGGTAACGTGGCACCGGTGAAACCCGTCATTACTGGTCATTACTGCATCGCAGTTCTAGTTACTTAATTAATTTAGTGTACTATAAATGTTTCATTACCGAAAAAAGTAAAAATATGTGACAACTCATGTTGACTGCCCTGACGATTGAGCTGCTGTGGGCGTATGGTTCGTTGCCTGGCAACCTATATTTAATAAAGTTGTTCGTATCGCCCTGCTTGGCATATCATTATATAAACATAAATTGTGTCTATTTCATGTTTCGATGAAATTTATAATTTGATACTTCTTTTGCAATTTTTATACGCCCACATTTCCATGTGGACGTATATTGTCGTCGCCCCTGTCCGTCCGTCCACAATATTGTTTGTTAACACAATTTTTATCCGATTTCAACGAAACTTGAAATATAGGTTTATCACTCTAAGATCTCGTTTCCTTTCGATATTGGAATGGTGTTTTTAGCTTGGGGTCGCTCTAGAGGTCACAATTATTATCCAATTTAAAACACTGTTTGAATACGTTTTTTTTTGTACAATCAGGGGCCATAATTCAGGAAGTTACGGTCCGATATGTGCGAATATCGAAAGGAACCGAGATCCTTAGGTTATAAACCTACATTTCAAGTTTCAACAAAATCGAATAAAAATT